ATCCCTCTGAGTAGCAACTATCCGCTTCGAAGATCAGCGAGGTCTCCCAGAAAATGAGCTGACCGCGTCGTGTTGGCACACGAACTCCAGTATAGTCCAGCCATTATGAAGCGGTTTCTTTGATCCAATGACGTCTTCATGATGTCAGCAGCAGGTGATAGTCTCTAGCATCCTTCGTACAGCGTAAACTAGTAGAATAAATGTGGCCACTTCCCAAACGTAATGATCCTTGTTCAACTCAGCGGCAAGGCGCAAATTTCGTCGTGTGCCGGGTTCCACAGAAACGACCTACGATGTCGTGATTTCATCTAAGTCTTCCTCTGGTTCGAAGGTTTGATCGAGTATGAAAAGTTCGATACTTACTCGTCAATTTTATGCCTCGCGGAACAGAAGTCAAAGATGCGATATGATCACCGCAAAAACGTTTACTGTTGACTGATTCGGTGATGTCTGAGATATTTGACTTTGGCTCGTATGAAATGCTGTTTGTCACTCGGAAACTAACATGACTGTGAATGCTTTCTCATAAGTAAAAAAGATCAGATGACAACACTCCGTCCAGCTCTATAATCGTTTTAGTTCAATCATCTCATTGGAGAGAAGCTTTTCCACGCTTACGTGCCCTCGCCACGGGATGAATTGTTGCCAAGAAGTGCCTCTGATCGCTAACATGGGAGCCAAACGACGGGTTGAATGTGCTAGAGACCATCCTTTGCTAGTACTTTCTCAATACTGTTATTGATAAAAAGCAGAAGCTTTTCTAACTACCTACCAAATCCAAACCAATCGTTCGCAGCACCTAGTCGATTGAAATTTTCAATTGTTGTTGCAGGCTTCCTGTGTACTTTGATCCGCTTTGCAGTGCAACACCTTCAGACAACTTCAAGGAACAAGCGACTCATTATTTCATGAAAACTAAAGGCTCGGACAATCATAGCTTCATTTCTGAGGAGTAAAATTAAAGAATGGACATCGTATTGATAGATCCGAACACGTAAAAGCTGGCATTGAACACTCCATCACTATGGTTTTGAAATTGTATGCGGCACGCCCTTGTTACTGTAATTTGTGGCCACTCTTTGTAACCCTTAGCTATCTATCTTCGATTTGTGCCTCTAGTCAGACTCTAGTCAGGCTTTTATTCGACCATTGGTCAGAGAACTTCAAAATCGACGAGCTGAAGCAACTATGATTTCTAAGGTGACGGTTGATATACGCCGACTTTTGTCAAAACTTAAAGTTCGAATATCTTGGCGATCTGGAAGTGTGCGGCAACTGTCCTTTGCCCTTTTTATGGTTGATCTGACATTGTTTAGGACAAACGGACGAAGAAGAGCGACGACGTGAGTATGATTGTTAACAGAAACGCTTCTCTTTTCTTATATAATCCATATTATAAGAACTACTTAGTAGGAAGAAAAATTAAACGAGTGTGGCGCATCAGAGATACAGCACCTGACGAACCGGGGCCAAAAATGTGTCGAGATATGTCCCAGAATACGATCCCCCCTTGCGCAGGGCTCTATGACTCCTTTGAGTTGCAAGCCAACTATAATGACTTAACTTTATTAACATATCCAGAGCTTCAATAAGTCAGTATAATGGAAAGTTTGCGATGTTGTTGTAGGGAATAAAGCTTGTTGTGAAATTTTAGTGCTAAGCTGCAATGTTCTCATTCACACTACCTGCTTGGGATGCGTGCTATCAATCAATTTTCTCAAAACAAGTTCTACAACGAATAAGAAATCACGCCATTTAGAATAAAACGAAACAACATACATCCAGTAATAAATACTTACTAAAAAGGGCAATACTCGTCAATAACAGCTTGAACACTGTTTACGATTAGCAAATGTAACGCAACAAGTGACAAAACGCGAGGTAACGAGTAAAAAGAATGAGACAAAGTGCATAGAAGAGAACAAACCAAACAAAAAGAACAATGAAGGAACGTCAAGTTTAGGGGACGTTAAGCGACTCACCGCCAGTTGCGGCGTGGTTTATCCTTGGGTCAGAATAGCTCGAGCCCGTCAGAAGCCATGGAAATTTACTCTCTCTCGGAAAGAAACCATTCCTCCATTTCATACTGTTTCGAAGAGGTTGGGGTAGGCTTAGAAAGAACTAGGCTTCCTTCTAGCGAGCAGTTTTTAATTTGCTCTGAGATCCCTCCACTACGAGAGACTGTGTCTTTCAAAGTGCGTCGAGTCAGCGTCGATGGCGCTAATCGCTGTAGAACTTGCTCCATATTTGTAATCAGCGTTTGAGGCTCTATCGATCTAGGTAGGTCTCAACTCGAACTTCCATGGGAAGTTGAATGCCTTTCCTGGTAAGTGTTTCCTGATTCACACGAATAATACTAACTTTTAGCTCAATCCGAGGATTGAAAAAAAATTTTCGAGTTAATTGAATGCAAGCAAAAAACACGTAGTCAATTTATTCAATAAAATGACGTATAATCAACAGATTAATTAACTGCACAGCCAGAAACATCAAGCAAGTTTAGCACGTTGCAGAAAACCCTTTAAAGTCGTTCATGCATTATGAAGACTTAAATATGAGGTCAATTAGTGAACATACTACCTAGAAACGCTGCCATTTTCGCCAAGGAATCGAAGATAAGGTGGGCCGGACACGTCATGCGATTGACCGTTGGACCAGAGCGGTTACCGACTGGATCCCTCGGGACGTCAAACGAACACCTGGACGACCGCCGGCCCGATGGTCAGACTTCTTCACGAAAGCTCTGAACGAAAGGAATGAAGGACTTCGTGTCCCTCGAGCGAGGAGGATCCACTGGACCACTCTAGCACGCGACAGGGACGAATGGAGACGTTGCTGGCGCCCGCTCGAGCAATTCGATGATCAACGGGACGACAGGTGATACAGGTGCCAGGTGATACCACCTAAAAAGACCTCATCATCCATCTTCCTTCGAATAGGACCAGATTTTTGCTCACAATTGAAGATGTTTCTCGACAGACATTTTCGCAACTCCTCCTTTAGTGGTACATTTCACAGAGTGGCCTGCTGCTTCATTAAATGCATCCCGTCTGACGGAGCCACTCTTGCATATGAGAGGAACGATGCTTCAAATTGTTGCTTTGCTAGAAGATAGGCCAGAGCAGTGCGAATGCCATGCCTACGGACACGCAATACCTTCCACAATCTAGCTATATACTACATATTTCTGATCATTGAAGCCAAGAAGAGCGTGATTGATCAAGCTCCAAACGATCTAACGTCATCTGGAACGACGAGGCAATCATATTTAATGAGTTCGCAACAAGCGTACTGAGTTCCAAAGTACGAGCATCCGAGAGCAAACGTTTTGAATCAACGCTCGGCCAATCCTTCAATGCTGATTTCGATCAGGCATCAGCTTCCCACCGATGAACCGGCGGCGGCTTGATTAGGCTGGAAAAAAGTGGAACCACGTTAAATGAATAAAGTAGTGATGAAGGCAGACTTATGCTGTTATATTTTGGAAAGTGTTATGTATCCGTAGGCATGATAGTCGCACGGCAATGACTTTGTCCTGTCGAAAGAAGAATAACTCGATGTTTCGTGGACCTTCCACACTGCCGAGAGTTGGATCCCCAGCAACATTTTGCGGTTCAGCAATGCCAACTCAGGTCAGCTGAACTTGATCGGACAACATGCTCAGAAAATCACATAGAGGGGAGCTCTTCGAAATCCGTGATCTCAAGAAAGAGCCAACGAATATTAAAGGGACTCATTAAAATGACTCGTATTTTGAAACCCGTTTTATGTATCAGAGACTTTCAAGCGTTCCAGGCAGCGTGAATCTCACTCAATAGTGACTGTTTAGTCGATTGATTGTTGTGTTGGAGTGATACGTTGATTTATTTGATTGAATGGATTACGTGGTTTTTCACCTGCCTTCAATAAATTCGAAAAATCTAAATTTTTCTAAAGTTGAGTTGAGGGTTGATATTTCTTGTGTGGATCAAAAAACACTTGATTATCAAAAAAGAAACCCTTAAGAGACCATTTGGTATTTAATTGATTTTGGCCACTACTGCATGTGATGTTGGCGATGACCTGTTGACGGAAACTGTATTGTAGTAACCACATTTCGTCACTCCTATAACCTAATGAACATCGTCAATCGCGCAGGGTATTTCCTTAACTTTGCCGTTTCCTGCGACAGTGCCATTCTCAGCGAGGTAAGGGCAGATAAATGAGGTGTCCTCGCAAATCGTATGAACATGTGGTCCGCAATTGAACCTGCAAGGAATATCTTGTGTTATGTCTTCTCACATATCCTCGTTTTCTGCTACGTCACTGCACCATGATGCAACTGATGTGCCCCTTACTAACTCCCACGACTACGACCCTCTATTATCCACTATGACAAATACGACTCCACCCCCTTTCTGTCGAGGATTTCCTCGAATAATATTCACCCTGGACGACCACTCAAAGATGTGTGACGATGCATGTTTTGCAGCGAAGGGTATGTCTGGGTCACATTTCTCGGGTTCTAGGCGGTTTTACTTGGTTTTTTTTTCTTTACTGCATCAACCACCTCTACTATGATTTCTAGTGGGCTGTCTTCTTATCATGATGTCTTACTGAGGATTATCATTCTATCCTCACCATCAGTATCCAGGTTGATAGGAGTTCTGCGCGATCAAGCTACTACACCAATTTGCTTGAGATACTGGTTGAGATGCTTGCTTTACAGAAGCTATTCAGATGCTAAAACTAGCGTTATCCTCAAATAAGTCTTTCATATTTTAGGGATCGATGTTGAAAAAAGCACGACAGATGGACACTAATGTATGCGATATTTGTTCATTTCTCTGAATGAGACTTGTAAAAGCTCATTGACTGGTAGAAATACGAGTGCACAGCTTTACCAGCAGATCTGAAAACATCACTTCAGCAACCAGGACGATAATTCTTTTCGAAAGAAATTGCATTGGTCCGCTCGTGGGATTCTTTTGATTTCTTTCCTGCCATGCGACTAGACTATGGTCCGGGTTTTGGGTCGGAATTAAACTTTTCCACGAAAAGTGCATCGGTACGTAAACGGAAGGCCCTTATATAACTTCTGCGATGATGCGAGAAGGCCGTGTCCCCAAGGCTCTAGGGCAGGGTGAAAATCGTGTCGAGGACGTGGTCAGTACGACCCCCCCATCGGGGTCTTGATACGACCCCTCTAACTTTGATTTGATGTGAATAAGCGAGTTCCATCAATGTACAGCAAAGCATTCAGTTGCAGCGCGGTTTGTCCGTGGGTCAGATTTGCCGAAACCCCGCTCGAACCATTCCCCACTTCACAATTTTGGAGCAGTGTGTGGTAGGGTTAGATAGAGCTGGATTTGCTACTACCGGGCAATATTGAAATTGATCTAAAATCTTTACACTCGAAGAGATAGGGTCTCTCAAATTTTGTCGAGGCAGCGTCGAGGATCCCGAATTTTTCATGCGTCTTTGCCACTAAAAGGTAAAGTTTGCGCTCAAACCCACCTAGGAAGCCCTTACCATGGCTAGAGGTGCTGGGTACGTAAGTGCAAGGTAGCGCCACCTTTCTACATCGAAACGCGTCTCTAGGGTCCTAGGCGCCATGGACTTCTAACAGACTCACCAAACTTAAAGGCAAAAGTCGGGCTTATAAGGGGGTATTATGGCGATTGAAACTGAGTATAGAGATGCGAAGTGGAACGACAGTGGAGAAAAAACTGAGAAAAACCGTCGACAAGGCCGTTAACAAAACCCTCTTTCCCACTAGCAGTGAAGGAGGCTGGCTTGGGGAAAGAGGCACGTACAAACAAGTTTTCTGGAGATGTCAGTCGTTCTATCGGTTGATACGGCAATCAACCTAGCTGATTTCACACGTTATGCCAGCCACGCACCACTTCCGGAGGTGGGCGGTCCCGGATTGACGAGGCGGTCCCGGATTGAAACCGACGGCCCCGGGGGCTTAACGACGTTTTTCAAGGTGGAAAGTTGCTGCAATGTGTGCAGCTACCCACATACAACCTCCAGGCACGGGAATTACTTCTCTAGCGTGTCTGAGCCCGACCTTTGCCTTTAAACTCGTCCGCCGCAGTTCCGAATCTTGTCTGCGTCGCTGCGTTGATATGCTATGCTCTCTCTACACGAACTTCTCTACCGCTCTCCGCTCTCTCATTATCATCTCACTGCTGGCCTTTTGAACTTCTCTCCACAGCATAGAGCAAAGCTCGTATATACCTTGTATTCGCGGATTTCGTTCCTTTTCCTGCCATTGGCGGTCACCTCCCATCTCTCTTCACATCCTATTACTATATAAAGCGTTTCTCATGTCGTTCTGTCTGTCGTTCTGTGTCCTGTGTCGTTCTGTATGTCTGTCACGAAATTCCCTAGCTCCTCGGGATCCGCCTGGAGGGACCGGGTCAAGTGTGGGATGGGTGGGCAGGGTCTCACGTAATACAAAACACACATCAGCTAAGCGGAGCCCCGCCCACAGAGGGCGTGGCGTGCGTCGAAATGAATTGTACCAAAGACCAAGATTTCGATTTCAGTGACAAAACGACCTCGAAACTGGGCCAAAAAGTGGGCTAAGGTGTGCATTGGTAAGTCACATCGAATTAGGGAGACCCACCCCCGGTGGGCGGGGCGTTCTCTAAAAAAGCAGTGCTTTATGAAAAATTTCATAACTCGGTTGGGAGAAAGCCTACAGAGCAGAAAACAATTCGGTGTAAGGGAGCAATGTCTAAGGTGTTGTTTCGCATACATGACGTGGGCGGAGGCCCGCCTAGAATGGGCGGGGCGCGCTCTGAAGTGTACAGCATTTTCTACAAGCCCTCATAATTTGGGTCGGGGGAGCCCTAAAGAGCCGGAAAAAGGTGGATAGAGGTGGGTGGAGGAGTGGAGGTTAACTGTCATTGGTGGGCGGGGCCTGACCAAAGTGGGCGGAGTTTGCGACGAAAATTTATAACTCGGCTCCATGAAGTCCGGAGGCTGGGGAAAAGGTGGATAGAGGTGGGTGGAGGAGTGGAGGCCAGCTGTCATTGGTGGGCGGGGCCTGACCAAAGTGGGCGGAGTTTGCGACGAAAATTCATAACTCGGCTCCAAGAAGTCCGGAGGCCGGGAAAAGGGTGGATGGAGGTGGGTGGAGGAGTGGAGGCCAGCTGTCAATGGTGGGAGGGACATGACCAACAGGCGGGGCTTGGCCAAAGTGGGCGGAGTTTGCGACGAAAATTCATGACTTGGCTCCAAGAAGTCCCTGAGGCCGCGGAAAAGGTGGATGGAGGTGGGTGGAGGAGTGGAGGCCAGCTGTCAATGGTGGGAGGGACATGACCAAAGTGGGCGGAGTTTGCGACGAAAATTCATAACTCGGCCCCAAGAAGTCCAGGAGGCTGGGAAAAAGGGAGTAGGTCGGCGAAGGAAAGGAGGTCAAATGCTATTAGTGGGTAGAGCACGCACCTAAGTGGGCGGAGTTTGCCAAAAGTGTCGTAATTTGGTTCCAAGAGGTCCCAGAGACCGGTGAAAAAGGGGGTAGAGGTCGGCGAAAAGAAGGGAGCCAAATGCTATTGGTCGGCAGGGCACGCACCGAAGTAGACGGAGTTCGCCACGAGATTTATTGTCCGGGCCGAGGACCGAGAAAAATAGGCTTACTATAAAGCGCTTCGTCTGTCGTTCTGTCTGTCGTTCTGTCCCTCTGTCTGTCGTTCTGTATGTCTGTCACGAAATTCCCTAGCTCCTCGGGATCCGCCTGGAGGGACCGGGTCAAGTGTGGGATGGGTGGGCAGGGTCTCACGTAATACAAAACACACATCAGCTAAGCGGAGCCCCGCCCACAGAGGGCGTGGCGTGCGTCGAAATGAATTGTACCAAAGACCAAGATTTCGATTTCAGTGAAAAAACGACCTCGAAACTGGGCCAAAAAGTGGGTTAAGGTGTGCATTGGTAAGTCACATCGAATTAGGGAGACCCACCCCCGGTGGGCGGGGCGTTCTCTAAAAAAGCAGTGCTTTATGAAAAATTTCATAACTCGGTTGGGAGAAAGCCTACAGAGCAGAAAACAATTGGTGTAAGGGAGCAATGTCTAAGGTGTTTCCCGCATACATGACGTGGGCGGAGGCCTGCCCAGAATGGGCGGGGCGCGCTCTGAAGTGTACAGCATTTTCTACAAGCCCTCATAATTCGGGTCGGGGAAGTCCTAAAGAGCCGGAAAAAGGTGGATAGAGGTGTATGGAGGAGTGGAGGCCAGCTGTCAATGGTGGGCGGGGCTTGACCAAAGTGGGCGGAGTTTGCGACGAAAATTTATAACTCGGCTCCATGAAGCTCCGGAGGCTGGGGAAAAGGTGGATAGAGGTGGGTGGAGGAGTGGAGGTTAATTGTCATTGGTGGGCGGGGCCTGACCAAAGTGGGCGGAGTTTGCGACGAAAATTTATAACTCGGCTCCATGAAGCTCCGGAGGCTGGGGAAAAGGTGGATAGAGGTGGGTGGAGGAGTGGAGGTTAACTGTCATTGGTGGGCGGGGCCTGACCAAAGTGGGCGGAGTTTGCGACGAAAATTTATAACTCGGCTCCATGAAGCTCCGGAGGCTGGGGAAAAGGTGGATAGAGGTGGGTGGAGGAGTGGAGGTTAATTGTCATTGGTGGGCGGGGCCTGACCAAAGTGGGCGGAGTTTGCGACGAAAATATAAAACTCGGCTCCAAGAAGTCCCGGAGGCTGGGGAAAAGGTGGATGGAGGTGGGTGGGGAGTGGAGGCCAGCTATCAATGGTGGGCGGGGCTTGGCCAAAGTGGGCGGAGTTTGCGACGAAAATTCATGACTTGGCTCCAAGAAGTCCCTGAGGCCGCGGAAAAGGTGGATGGAGGTGGGTGGAGGAGTGGAGGCCAGCTGTCAATGGTGGGAGGGACATGACCAAAGTGGGCGGAGTTTGCGACGAAAATTCATAACTCGGCCCCAAGAAGTCCAGGAGGCTGGGAAAAGAGGTTGGCGAAGGAAAGGAGGTCAAATGCTATTAGTGGGTAGAGCACGCACCTAAGTGGGCGGAGTTTGCCAAAAGTGTCGTAATTTGGTTCCAAGAGGTCCCAGAGACCGGTGAAAAAGGGGGTAGAGGTCGGCGAAAAGAAGGGAGCCAAATGCTATTGGTCGGCAGGGCACGCACCGAAGTAGACGGAGTTCGCCACGAGATTTATTGTCCGGGCCGAGGACCGAGAAAAATAGGATAATGGTTGACGAAGAAAGAGCGCATAGAATTTAGCGGAGAATTCAGATATTCGTATTGTATCAAGCCAAATTTGAAATTTTTCGTCGCACCATCAAAATTCGCCACAGATCTGTGTTGCGCGCGCAATGCGTGCGGCGCCAACTGGTGTTGAGATAATGTTGAAACATAATTATTGATTTGGGGAGAATTAGATATTATAGTGATCAAGCATATTTAGAAATTTTTTCGTCGACATCAAAATTCCACAGACTGTGTTGCGCGCGCTAATGCGTGCGGCCTAACTGGTTTGGCTGGAAATCAATCAATCAATTTAATCCCGATTCTTGCCTTCGAAAGGCAATATCTCTCTTAATTTTGTAGGACCTTTAAAAATTGAAAACATTTTTTAAAGCGGAAGGTTAGCGCTTTCTAACTGTATGTTAAGCTTCGTTCTACGTCCTTTAGTTGAGAAGATATTCGCGACGAGGATCTATCGGGAATGATTCTCGGCCGCTCAAAAAGCCGCTCCCTTCTTCACCACTGCAGGTGTAATCCGTTGGCAACGCTCGAAATGTGTCTAGAATACATTCATCAACATAATCAATAACAAAAGGGGCAATCGTCACCATTCGATTTTGTCTGTTATAGGCATGCACTTGAAGCCGCAGAATCGATTAGAAGGTGTTACATGATTACGAACCGTTGGCAAAGCTGCATTGTAGTAAACGCATTTCGTAACTCCTACAACCTAAAGAACAACTTCATTTGCCCAGGGCTTTTCCTTCACGGTTGTCGTTTTTGCGACAGGGTCCCTAACAACAGTGTCATTCTCAGCGAGGTATTAAGGGAGAAGGAGCGAGCGATAGGCAGAGGAGGTGCCTTTGCAGCGCGTGCGCACATGTGGACCTTTTCCTTGCAAAGAGCACATTAATTCACTGTACTACTTTCAAATACTTCCTCGGAGGTAGAGAGACGGAGCAACTGAACCTGCAAAGGGTATTTACATCATTTTTCTCATATCCTTGTTTTCTGCTTCGCTACACCCTATTGCTCCTATCTGCACCGCGATGCCACTGACGTTACTGACCCACACGAGTACGACCCCCATGACCCACCTTGACAAATACGGACCCCCTCTGTCGAGGAATTTCCTCCGATCGATATTCACTGCTCTAGGGTGCAGCATTGATCCTGCCCAACACTCCTGAGTGCGCCACACAAATCATCGCTATTACGCTTTGCTGCTACTGGAGAGAGGGTTCGCCCCCCCCCCCTTGTCGACGGTTTCTTCCCGCTTTCCATTGTTGGCGCTACACTTCACATTCCAAATGTCACTTGCAAGCACAATAATAAATATATCAAGTTCGATTCCGGACTTCGCCTTCAATGGATGCTTGTATTAGGATGGTAAGAAAGTCCTGAGCCGTTCGACACTTTTTTGCTTTACTTTTTTATTCCGCGTACAATGGAATTACTCAACAATATAATCACCATTGTTACTCACTACAGAGTCCCACCTAATGGGCAGGTCAGCGACCCCTTCTCCCAGAACTGAGCAGACTGAGAGTCAAAGAAATCGCTGACCGCTCTTTCAACGTCTTCAACTTTGGTGAATTTTTTCTTCGCTAGGAATGCCTTGAGGGAATGAAGTAAGTGATAATCAGAGAGGGCAATGTCAGGGAGAATAGGGATGGGTGGGGAACCGCGTCCCAGATCAGCTCTTCCAATTTTGCACGGGTCTCTTTAGCTATGTGGGGCCTGGCGTCATCGTGGAGTAGGTGGACAGAAGTTCGTCTCGGTCGTTTTTTGAACAGCGTCCGCTAGTTTCTGGAGCTGACTGGCGTAAATGCTGCCGGTAACGGTATGCCCTTGCGGGAGCAGCTCATAATACAACATTCCTCGCGAATCCCAGAGGCAGCAAAGAAGACAGCTTTTGGGGTGAAGGTCCGATTTTGCTTGTGTCGGCGGGTCTTCTCCTCGAGGAGCCACACGGCACTGTGCTTATTGGATCGTAGAACAACTCTCATCTCTCGTAATCAAGTCGTCATAAACTTCTGTTGTAGAGGTGAAGAAGGTGAGAAACGGGACACATGTTTACCGGCCAACAGGTGCTTCGGTCAAACATAAGGAATATATCGATGTCAGCACTTCTTGTGGCTGAGGGATGGGAGCGGAACGGGACTGTGGGATGGTGCTCCGGAGTCTTATCAGGGGTGGGGGAGTGGACAGATGCTAACTCCGGACCCTCACCGGCAGCGTCTAGAACTGTGATGTCTTCCCGTTTCTGGGCAATCCAATCTTACTGTTTTCGGAATCTGTCGTTTCTTGGAGCTGCAACCATTTAGCACTGGTGGTGGAAGTGATGTCCCTCTCATGCTCTGATATAGTTGGACCGGGTTCACTGGCTCTGTGCTCAAAGCCTCATGGAAAGATGATCGCTCAAGGGTGGGTTTGAATTGGAATTTATATTGTTCAAGTTTACAGAAGCAAGCGGCAATATATACCTACTGCAGAGAAGTATGATCGACAGCGATAATCTATCACTTAAGGATTCTAGGTATCGATCAATAAGCGGAAGTTCGGAGCTCTCCGAAAAATTGACTCGGGACTTTCTTACCATCCCAAGTATTTTCAAGGCCACTGATATAGTTAGTCCACTGAATAATAACCAGTGGAAGGAATATTATAAAATGACTCGGATTTGCGCTAGATGTAAACTCAATGTTCTACTAGCCGATAGCTGCGAATTAGGCTTGCAGTGCGACGTGCGCAGTAGCACGTTAAATAATTGGTCCGTTCATTTGATGCAAAAGCAAAATTTCAGCCTGAGTTCCAGCCGTTCCGTACGGAGAAGATGAGAGTTACAAAAGAAAAGAGGGCGATCTCCCCTCGACAGCTATCGTATAGCTCGAGGGCAATTTTTCATGAATTGGAAACTTCACAAGGAACCTTCAATGCTTAAGGACCAGAATTCTTCAGATAGCTCGATGCGAGCAAGGCGACCGCGCAGAGTAGAAAGAGACCAATATAAAGGTAAGGGCAGAGGCTTAGAGCTATAGTCTCTTGATCAATCATTTTTCAGAGTCCGAGAGTATGCCCAGAAGGAGAGGTATTCAGGAGAGCTAGTAAAGGATACGACGACCGATACCGCCACATGAAGGCAGCGGAAGAACCAGCTTTTGAGGTGGGTAATACTCAGAACTTAGCTGTCTGAGATCTACACACAAACATAGACCGACAAAGTGGCACACTAAATTATCCTTCTATTTTGTAAACCGCTAACTTGTGTCCGGTTTGTATGTTTATCGTTATTGTATGTATGTGTGTATGTATGTCGTCCGCAAAATGAAGTGAGTGAGAAGGAAGCTCATGGAACAAACCGCTAACAAATCGGGTAGCTTACAGGATTTGAGATATCAATGTTTTGTAGCAGGATAGTTGTGATAACACTCTTAGGGCTATATAAACACCTGCTTAGCACACTTCCGTTCATTCCACATGGTGCTGCAGTGGCAGCTGGAGGGCAGTGGAGAGAGGAAGGGAGGATGAGGAAGGGAAGCGAAAAATCTACCGTCATATCATGATTGTGTCCCTTCTACTGTATGAAACACCATTGTGTTGCATACGCGTCACTTCCACGAGGTGTTGGTGTCACAGGAGGAAGGGACCATAGCGGAGGATAGAAAGCTTGCGCAGGAAAGGAAGGTCCCGGCGGTTGACGGGGGACTAATCTGGTTGCCTGATAAAATAGAGTGCCTAGGTTCTATGGCCATCATACTATCGCATTATGTTGACATCGATTATGATTACAAGACTTGTTGGAAATTCTTTTCACATCACTTCTCATACCTCTGTGCACGACTACAGCACTTATGGAACAGTCGGAATGCGTTGGGTGTTCTGTGCGTCGACGCTAAGGATGAACCACGACAACTATGGGCTTTAGCATTTTGCTAACCGTTGCTTTATCATACCAGCTCCATTCTAACATCATTCCGCAAAAGGCAACGTACCACACGACGTACGAACCGGCACATTAAAAGTATACTTGTCATCTCCTGACAGGATTTATAAGTTGAAAAAGAAGAACTCTTCACATTACATGTGCCATATACGTATTAGACCGATGATTGATTTCGCCTCTTACTCAAAAGAATCACGCATTTCTTCAGCCCGTGGAACTCTCTGATCGTGAGTACGTGGCATGAGGAATAGATAAAAGTGGACTTAGGAAAAGAGTAAGTGTAAATGTGGTGGTACTTAATGGGTTACCCTATCCTTGAAGGCATGCCCCAGGATCAAAACATTGCGGTACGAATACGAATGTATTGGTGCGAAGCGGGCCGGTAGTAAAGAAAAAGGATAAAGAATCCGTCAAAAACGCTAAGGTTAAGGGCTCTACTACGATTACTACTTAGTAATCGGCTTTGCTAAGCCGATGAGAGAATAAGCGTGGAAAGGAGAGTATGAGGCGAGAGAGTGCCGCATCTACATGAAATCATTCAGCTACAGCAGCTTTGCAAGGACCTAGCGCTCTTGTCGGGTGATTGACGCGAGAATGCCACATTTAGAATTGTTCTCTAAGGGTCCATCATGCAGTCCAAAGGGAATCGTTCTCACGACTTCTGCCTGGGATGTGCCTTTGAATATGCCAGTTGCTTCAGAGAGGCAGCATAAGTAAGAACTTCAAATCAATGGGTATGATTTAAGGAAAGATAGCCTTAAAAAACAGCTAGGCAATTTCTCGTGGCCTAATTTTGCAATAAAAGGTATTGCATTCAATAGAGGTGATATGGAGGAAAGGAATAATTCCACCACATTGCACAATCATTTTCATTAATTATTATTAATTAATTACCAGATTAGTCCCGTCAGACGCCGGACCTTCCTTTTCCTGCCAAGCTTTACTAATCGTTGTCTCTTGTATTGGTCCCTCCTGTGACACCAACACCCTCTGGAAGTGACGCGTATGCAACACAATGGTGTTTCATACAGTAGAAGGGACACAATCATGATATGACGGTAGATTTTTCGCTTCCCTTCCTCATCCTCCCTTCCTCTCTCCACTGCCCTCCAGCTGCCACTGCAGCACCATGTGGAATGAACGGAAGTGTGCTAAGCAGGTGTTTATATAGCCCTAAGAGTGTTATCACAACTATCCTGCTACAAAACATTGATATCTCAAATCCTGTAAGCTACCCGATTTGTTAGCGGTTTGTTTATCCCATGAGCTTCCTTCTCACTCACTTCATTTTGCGGACGGACACACATACATACATACACACACACACACATACAGATACACAAACCGACACACAAAGTTAGCGCTTTATAAAATACCAGATTAGTCCCCCGTCAACCGCCGGGACCTTCCTTTCCTGCGCAAGCTTTCTATCCTCCGCTATGGTCCCTTCCTCCTGTGACACCAACACCTCTGGAAGTGACGCGTATGCAACACAATGGTGTTTCAAACAGTAGAAGGGACACAATCATGATATGACGGTAGATTTTTCGCTTCCCTTCCTCATCCTCCCTTCCTCTCTCCACTGCCCTCCAGCTGCCACTGCAGCACCATGTGGAATGAACGGAAGTGTGCTAAGCAGGTGTTTATATAGCCCTAAGAGTGTTATCACAACTATCCTGCTACAAAACATTGATATCTCAAATCCTGTAAGCTACCCGATTTGTTAGCGGTTTGTTTATCCCATGAGCTTCCTTCTCACTCACTTCATTTTGCGGACGGACACACATACATACATACACACACACACATACAGATACACAAACCGACACACAAAGTTAGCGCTTTATAAAATACCAGATTAGTCCCCCGTCAACCGCCGGGACCTTCCTTTCCTGCGCAAGCTTTCTATCCTCCGCTATGGTCCCTTCCTCCTGTGACACCAACACCTCCTGGAAGTGACGCGTATGCAACACAATGGTGTTTCAACAGTAGAAGGGACACAATCATGATATGACGGTAGATTTTTCGCTTCCCTTCCTCATCCTCCCTTCCTCTCTCCACTGCCCTCCAGCTGCCACTGCAGCACCATGTGGAATGAACGGAAGTGTGCTAAGCAGGTGTTTATATAGCCCTAAGAGTGTTATCACAACTATCCTGCTACAAAACATTGATATCAAAATCCTGTAAGCTACCCGATTTGTTAGCGGTTTGTTTATCCCATGAGCTTCCTTCTCACTCACTTCATTTTGCGGACGGACACACATACATACACACACACACACACACATACAGATACACAAACCGACACACAAAGTTAGCGCTTTATAAAATAGAAGGATTATTCAATCCATTAACATAAGATCCAATATTTTTGGTACAGGTGGTTAGCATTACGACGCCTTTTCCAGGATAATAATAATAAATAAATAAATAAATTTTCTAGCCTGTGCTTGGACGTGCGTCCGACCTTGTTCCACTAGAAGATAGCATCGATCCACACTATCCAGCTCAGCGTATAATCATTAGTAGGTGAGCAGTCTGTGCTTTGTGAATTATGATTGACTAAATTTCGACTTCTCTATTGGCAACTCCTCTATTGCATTGCAGCTTTGTTCGAAATGGTTGCCGTATCAAACGTTGGTTGTACGAAGATGCTTATCCAATACACTGCGCAAGGCCGACCATTGGTGATCTTGTATGCAGTCCACCCAGAAAATCGTTGAGTGTTTTTTCCTGTTATTCCCCACTCCCGATTCCCTTGAAACCTTTATGAACGGACGCAGGAGATAATATTTCATGTTATGATCCAAAAGGTCCTACGAAGGTCTATGGTGCTGCCAAAGGCGCGTACTTTCAGGTGTTCAAGAAGATGCATGGGCGATCGAAGGAGTGTGTGCGATCGTTACCGTGAAAATAATGCCTCCATTAAGGTGACTGGTTGTGGACTGTTTTTCAGCACCATTCGGTTCAACCAATATTACCGTTGTCGCTTTAGAATAATTCCATTCGTCAAAACTGTGAAAACGAACGAATTCGAGGAGAATTGCAACGCCTCGATGTGATATTGAAGAACCTCGATGACTAGCCTACTAACCAAAGTTCACTAATATGATCCGTCCACCTAGTTACGCAAATGAAGCCCACAAAATAAATTATTTTGTATTCCAAGAGTCTAGTCTGGGTAAATTTTCACAAACATTCAAGAAGGTTTCATTGGTTTTCATTGGCAACGAAGATTTCCACAAATCATTGACGACATTGCGGCTCGAGGTAGAGGCAGTTTTCTATCAATTGGGACAGTGCGGCTCGATGGGGCGCAGCATAGAGATAACTCTTCCGCGCAGGATTGTGAAAGTTATAACGATAGTAACGATAGTATATTACTAAGGAAGGCATTGTAATCCATACCGTAATCCTGGTCGGACTATCTCTTTCTGTAGGTGAATTACAAAAGGGACGTACAAAAGTAGTTCTATGGAACTCAGTTGTTATTTCCGAATGTATATGGCTGGGTTTTACATGCAGTCGGCTATAGCAATGATGCAACTTTTACAAGGTGATCTGCTCCAACCACTATTCTGGGGTGAAAAATTGATGTTCTTCTGGCTCGCTCGCTGGCTCGAAATCGTCCCTTATCAAACGAGAGGATAGACTCTTTCATTGGTGAACCAGAAGATTGACGCTTTCTCTGGTAGAACACTACAAAACTACAAAACCTGCAAAGCCTCGACAGTTTTTCTCGCTCTTACATAAGATCCAATATTTTTGGTACAGGTGGTTAGCATTACGACGCCTTTTCGAGGAATATCAAAGAAGGCGCGGTACCAATCGCAGTGTGGTAAAGCAGGGGTCAGAGTGCGATCGCGTGAATGCATCGCGACTGCGATTGGCACCGTTAGGCGCCATATATGCCGCACGCCCACTAATGGACTCACTGATATTGAGGTTCTCCACAAGACGGTTATTTTGGAGCCTGATGAAAATTTTCAAGTCCGAAAATACAAGGGGGAAGGGGTAAGAAAGAGTCCAATGGTTCTGTCGAAATGGTATTTATAGGTTTGTGTGCTATGCTTCCGATGCAGAACTCTTCGCATCGTTATTGTTATACTGTCGAATATGCAACCAATTTTATCATGGTCATCACCATGCCGTGATCGATACGCTGTTTGACAATCCCCTCAGCCGCTTTCCAATTCCGTAACTGATCGAATTCTATGAGA